TCCTGCTCCTCCTCGTACCTCCTGCTCCTCCTCGTACCTACTGCTCCTCCTCGTACCTCGTGCTCCTCCTCGTACCTCTTGCTCCTCCTCGTACCTACTGCTCCTCCTCGTACCTCTTGCTCCTCCTCGTACCTACTGCTCCTCCTCGTACCTCTTGCTCCTCCTCGTACCTACTGCTCCTCCTCGTACCTCTTGCTCCTCCTCATACCTCGTGCTCCTCTCACATGCAGTAGGAGGCCCTGAAGATGCTCATGATGCACTCAAAGAATTCTCTCGACAGACAAAAGGTCTCCTCCGCCCCTCGCCCCCTTTTTCTTGCTGCTGCTGCTGCTGCTGCTGCTGCTGCACCCCAATGCCCCCACCCTCCTCCTCCTCTTCCTCCTGCTCCTCCTCGTACCTCCTCCTCCGTCCTCCTCATCCTCATCCTCATCCTCATCCTCCTCCTTGTTTTCATCTCCGTCCTCCTCTTCCCAATCCTCCTGTGATGAAGTTTTCCTTTCACTTTCTCACAATCTCGACTGCAGAGGGTTGATCTTGAGATCTACGTGGAAGACTATCACAGGATGGGGTAGCTTCCTTCTCCTCCTCGTCCTCCTTGTTCTTCTCGTGCTTGTGCTCGCCCTTGCCCTCCTCCCCTTGCTCGTTCTTCTCCTCCACTTTCTCCTCCTCCTCCTTCTCCTTCCACTCCTCTTGCTCATTCTCCTGCCCCTGCTGCTCCTTGTTGCTCCTCGTCCTCGGCCTCGTCCTCCCTCCTCCTCCTCCTCCTCCTCCTCCTCCTCCTCCTCCTCCTCCTCCTCTTGCTTATTGTGCATCTCCTACTGTTCGTCTAATTCTCGTCAGCATCTTCTTCTACCAGTGGACCATCTTTGTCGGCATTCGCTTCCTTCGCAAGGGTCAGCTGCTGGCCGACGAGGCGTCAAGGAGCGGCGCGATGCTTCAGTTTGCTGCCATCCAAGTCAGCCTCGCGCAAGGACGCGTCAACTTCAGGTGAGGATGAAGAGTTTCAGTTTCTCCCTCCTCCCTCCCTCCCTCCCTTCCTGGTGTGCTCCTTTCTTTGTTGAGATGTCCGAGGGGAGGAAGCGTGTGGTGAAGGTTAGAGCCCAGATCTCAGATGCAAAATGATGTTGGGCAAATGCTGTTTTTCGACAATGTGAGAAGCAGTTGTGAACGAAGGGACTGTCAGAGTTGGAACAAGATGAATTCAATTTCATCAAGTCGACATGTGAGATGAAAGTGAAGGTCGATTACAAGGCCTTCACAGAAACACAAAACACCTAAGTGCATGAGTAAGCAAATGAATCGAAGATGCAAAGACAAGTGGAAATAGAAACAAGAAAGGGATTCTAACATCACCAGAACAATGACTCGTAAAGAATCAGCAATCATCCTATGTGGAACATTCTTAGAAATGGAGGAATCAAACAAAGCTCTCTGATTACCCATATTCCCTGAAACGAAATCGAGAAGGCCTTGCATTTCAGGAATATTTGCCTCACTGTCGATCTAATAACAGTGAAAGTAACACCGGAATCGACCTCATAAGGACGGTACCGTAATCATTCCCTCTCAGGCTT